TTATCACATATAAAAACCAAAAACTAGTCCATAGTTTACAAGTTTCTTACAGTGAAACAATGACTAATATTTCCTTTACATTTTCCATTACTCGATTTTGCCTCACTGCCATTTTAATTTTCTTCGCCCCTTCAACTGCCAAGGCTAGAAATCTCACCCAGCCTTTCAAGAGAGTTTATGCCTTTGGCGATGCCGAAACCGACACCGGCAACACAAAATCGTCCACTGGTCCTACCATATTCCGGTTCGCGTCCGACCATCCTTACGGCAAGACATTTTTTGGCCACCCCACAAACCGATATTCTGATGGCCGTTTGATGATCGACTTTGTGGCCGAAAACCTGTCGTTGCCGTACTTGGCACCTTATCTCGATGAGAAGGCCGATAAATCACATGGAGTGAACTTTGCTTTTGCAGGCAGCACTGCATTGACACGCAATTTCTTCGTGAACAATAATCTTACACTTGACATCACTACTGTTTCACTTCAGACACAACTCAGTTGGTTCGACGAGTTTCTTGAAAGTGAGAGGTGTAAAAGCTCACCATCAATGTTGGGGTGTAAGGCAGAATATATAAATGATGCACTGTTCTGGGTGGGAGAAATTGGAGCAAATGACTATGCATATAGCTACAGATCTTCTGTGCCAACCAAAACCATTCAAGAACTTGCCACCAATGACGTCATCGACTTTTTACAGGTAATTATTTGGACTGCGAATCCTAATTATTTATCCCTTTGGAATGATGATTGGCTTTAGATTTTCCTTCTGTTTTGGATGATGACTACAATTTTTATGCTGTGCTTGTAAATTGCGAATTCTTAACTGGCCTCGTCTTTGTTGACAGGCATTGCTTAATAAGGGTGCAAAGTATATCCTTGTTCAAGGCCTGCACCCCACAGGCTGCCTGACACTGTCCATGGCAGTGACTCCCGCGAACGATAGAGACAATATGGGGTGTGCGGCCACCGTGAACAACAGAATTTACGCTCACAACACAATTCTCCAAGCGAAGTTGAATGAGCTCCGGGAAAAGTTCCCACAAGCTATCATTGTATATGCAGACTACTGGACTGCCTTCCAGCACGTGTTGCAAAATCCCGGTGAGTACGGCTTCGACGAGAGATTCAAAGCCTGCTGTGGATCCGACGGCGGAACCTATAACTTCAACATTCTTTTCCCATGCGGATCGCCTCCCTCGACTGCTTGTGATAACCCTTCTAAGTACATCAATTGGGATGGTGGGCATCTTACTGAAGCCATGTACAAGGTTATGGCACGCTTATTCATCACAGGGGCATTTTGTGATCCACCTTGGAGTCATTTAATAAGCAAGAAAATGCAATCAGAATAGATATATCTCCTTTGAATCCCCTCCAACAATACTGTGTTACTGTTGCAGCGTTGCTATGTGTTGAGGGGGGTTGTAACAGAGATGATCTGATGAAAATTACTGGAATATAATAAGAATAAAATCTATGGTTTGGCAAAAGTTTGAGAATTATTTTGGAACATTTAATTATTTTTGTAACTGTAACACCAATTGTATCTTTGGAGAGGAATTACGCGGTATTGGATGCTATTAAGGAAATGCCTAGGTCCACAATTTGGTGAGCAATGTAGATGTAGATTGTAAATGTGTCTGGATTGAAGGTTGAAGCTTGTCACGAATGACTGAAGAAAAATCGGATGAAGATTTGAAAAAAAAAAGAATGAACTCATTGGGGAAAAAAAAAAAAACAAGATGAAATTTGAAGCCCGGCAATTCGGATTGAATAAGCTTTCTTAAAACACCCATGTTATACGAACAAACTCAATGATATGGTTAAAAAACGGGGGACACGTGGCACAATATTATTGGACAGTTAGAAAAAAATACCTACACAGGTGTGACAACTCAGCACTTGTTTGCAATCCCTGTTTGAGCAGCATTATTGTTCTCAAAATTGATATTTGCTCCCTCAATGTGAGAATGTTTTTGGGGTTCTGTTGAGTTTTTTATATCACAAGTGTACGATATCGTAACAAGTAATATAATGAACATTTGAGTTCAGATTATCGTTTCCACGAGGACTATACTTTAGAATTTAATCTAATTTTTCTAACTCCTATTTGAGAAAAGCAAATAAATAATTATGATGACTGTAATTATTTTTTCTAACTATTTTTAACTAATGGAAAATATAAAATGGTTGCAAACAACTGATAATTAAGAATTCAAATATGTGATGAATATTAGGGAATAATAATTT